AGGCCCAGGAGGTGGAGATCATCAGGAGCCATCCTAGATGCCCCCTTCACATGCTTTTTGTGGTAACTGATTTATTTATACTTATTTCTATAATTCTATTAGATCTTTTCTGTTTACCATCCTCTCCCTCTCCCTCCCCTCCTCCCTCTCACTCCTCCTCACTCACCCCTCACCAGAGTCTTTCTCCCTTACCTTATCCACCTCCTGTCCTCTAACCTGCCTTCTACTCTGGCTTCCATCCTCCTTCCCCTCTTTTACCTCCTTCTCCTCTCCAGTCCTTCCTTGCTCATCTTCTGAAACAATACATTCTGGACCATCAGTCCATCTTCCAGAGTTCTTCGCTTTTACCAGACATTTTATCTTTAGTTGTTTATTTATTTATTTATTTTTTAAGACCGAGTCTTACTCTGTTGCCCAGGCTGGAGTGCAGTGGTGCGATTATAACTCACCACAGCCTCAAACTCCTGGGCACAAAAGATCCTCCTCCCAAGTAGCAGGTATGTGCCACCATAGCCAGCTAGCTTTTTATTTTTATTTTTTTGTTGAGATGGAGTCTTGCTTTGTTGCTCAGTCTGGTCTCCAGTTCCTGGACTCAAGCAATCCTCCTGACTTTTTATCTTTGTCTTCCATTGCTACATTCTTGCTCAAATCTCTGTACTTCATTTTACTTTGATAATTTTTCCTTTGCTGTCCTCAGCTTAGAGTTTGTCTTATCCATTTCATTTTTTTATTTTGTAGATTTTTAAATGTATAATCTTTACCTATTTGCGGGTTAGCCTATTTCAGGTTCATAATTTCTTTTTTGTGAATCAGAAGTTACTTCGTTTTATCTTTTTAAGCAACTTAAATATGCATATTTAAAATTCTTTATCATTTGGAGATTGTAATACTGGCTGGATATCTGATGATGTTAAGGAATTCATGTTAAATTATTTTTGATATGCAGTAGTACTATGGTTCTGTTTTGGAAAATAAAAGTCCTTATTTTTTAGAGCAGTGTATTAATGCATATGTAGATGAAGCAATCTGTAAGAAACTTGGGAGTAGAGGAAGTGGAGGGTAGAGATGAAAGAAGGTCTCTTTAGTTTCTAACTGTTGAAGCTTGCTGTTGGCTATCTGGGGTTTTATTGTATTCTTCTGTCTTCTTTAAATTTTTGCATAATAAAAAGTTTTTAAATCCTTTGTCATATTGTCCTATAAAATTAATGTCATCTGGAGTGAATTTGTATTTCAGTTATTGCTTTTATTGGTAGCCTTTTTAGAAATTATGTTTTGTCACATATTTGAGATTCGGTTTGCAGGTTCATTTGGAGTAGAAAGTTGAATATTTCTATCGTCACCTACACATGACCCCAGGGTGGGACCAGGTCTGATTTTGGCCTTCTGAGGCCTGTCTCTGCAGTGGTCCTAATGATATTGCAGAGCCAGGAACTGAGTCACTAGGTATATTTGTGGTTCAGGGGCTGGATCTGTACCCTCTGGGATTTCCAGGTTTAAGCAAACTGAAAACCCCAGGCCTTAGTGGAGGTCTTCAGATGTTTTTTATATCAGCTTCTTATTTTAGGGAGATCCCTAGGCTGCAGGTGGCCAGCCTGGCTTCAGGCCCCTACTTGTGTGGAGGTGGTTTATTCTGACCCTGCAGGATAAAGAGGGGTCCTGACTGCCTCTGCCTGCTCCAGACCTGGAGCCAGCAGGCCTGTGCTTCAGCCCCACCCACTGCTTTGCATTTCTGTTCTGTGTTGGATACTTTAATCTTGTTTTTGAACCTGTCCATGTCTCTTTGGTCATCTCTTCTATATTTTATCTGCCAATGCTATGTGTTTGGAGTAGGGTAGAGGCACCAAAGTGTGAACTCACTGTGTCATCTTGACTGGAGGAGGTCCTTGACTAAATCATGCAGATTCTCTCAATTCTCTATTCAAAGACTGTCATCTGCTGAGTACATGTTCACAAGTGGTGATATTTTACTTTTGTATTAAAGACAAGATTCTTAATTCCGTATTTTTTTTCCCCTGAAGACTTTCTCAGAAATCTCCTTAGGGAAAATAGCAACCCGCTAACCCTACAAGTGAGTCTGTCTTATGGTCTCCCCAGCACATCTCTCTCTGAAATTATTTATCTGCACACACATTTGTGTCTCCCACTGGGATCTAAGCTTCATGATAGCAGAAACTCTCTCTGGCTTCCCTGTTGTGTCCTCAGTCCCTTTACCATGCTATCTGTCACATGGAGGTCCATCATGGTGTTCTGGTAAGTGACACGCTCAGACACAGAAACCACAGTTGTGTTGCGTGCTGTGTGGCCTCTCATGAGTGCTAGCTAGGAAGCCAGCTTTGAGACTGTGGGGCAGCTGTGTGGAGTGACAGGTGACTGCCCAGTGTGCTCTTCCATACATCACAGCCAGGCCATTGAGTACCTGCTCTGGGCCAGGCACTGACACACAGGCGTTTATGTCATTTTCAGTTTCTACAGCCATTTTTTGTGTCACTTCCTGTCCATTGTCAGTCATTGGGATTGCATTCTAAGTCTCAGGGATGAGCAGAGCTGGTGGGCAGTGCTTTGTAGTGGATGAATCAGAGGTAGTGAGCTCGCCACCCTTCTGGCTCGCTTGTGACAAAGTCAAGGTGTTGGGGATATAGTGCACGTAGTAGAGTTTTCATTCAAGTGGGAGGCACAGCCTCATCCCTCTCTAAACAGTTCATTTCATTCTTAACTGCTCAATTGTGTTGCATTGGACATGAATAGTAAAGTAGGCCTTGATGTTCTGTTTCTTCCTGTTGTATGAACAGTCTCTAGCCTGAGGAGGTGCTGATGGTGAGACATCTTCACCTAACACTTGAGCCCTGCCTCCCATTCCTCACGTCGACATCCTACTGGCACAGGCTCTGGAAGCTTCGGTATGAACATTCTGGTAGCCTCGGCCCAGAGGAGGCATCACAGTGTGTGAGTCGGATGGTGGTGGATGTGTGGACGCACCTCCTTGTCTCTGTTGCTTTACTTGACCCTAGAGAGTGGCAGGTGAAGAGCGTTATGATGGTTTTGCCTTCAGATGTCATCTTCCTGCTTGGCTGGGACTGCTGGTCAAAACATGTCAGGTCCGGAGCCCTCAGAGACTTTCTTGTACTGGCTGCTTAATTGCATCAGACGAGCTTCTCCTCTGACGGCACCAGGGATTGGTAACAGTTAAGTGCTGGGCTGCTGAGAGGCCCAGCACAGATTAGCCATGCTTGCGTTCCTGGGACACAGCTTCAGCAGCCCACTTTGAAAAGCCCTGCAAGAAATTCCTGGCATTCAGTCCCACTGTTTGTATTTAGCTTTTCTGAATCATTGGCATTCCAGAGGCATGCCAGAAGCCTGCCTGGCATTTTTAGATCCTCTGCAGCTGTCTGGGGATCCAGGTTAGTACTTCTCCCTTCTACAGGTAAAGGGAAAACAGACAAGATAGCATCTTGCTCACGCTTCCTAGAGGCCACTCAGTGACAGAGCCAGTATTAGAACTTGACTCTCAGGGGTTCAGCCAGCCACCCAGGCCCACTGGCCTGGCGTGGTCCTATCACCTGAGTTTTTCTCCTGCTCTGCACTCAGGGGCACTGCTGGGTGGTCAGCTCTTATTACAGACCTCCCTGCTGGTGGTTCTGCAAGGTTCCATGCCAGCAAGAGTAGCACTGCCAGAGAGATGGGCTTTCAAAAACATGGGTTCCTATCTTACCCTGTACTTTGAATGATTCAAACCCATGTGCTGATACCATATTGTGGCTTAAAAGGAAAAAGCTCAGGGCTTGGAAGTCGTATGAACTTAGGTTCACAGTCTAGCCTAGTCACTGGCTAGCTTGTACTCCTGGGGGTGGTGAGGATTAAGTGCCATCAGGAGCCTAGCAGAGTGCCTGAGCACACTCAGCCCTAGCACACAGACAGACAGCGAGCAGATAGTGTTATTCCTTATGCAGTCAAAAAAAGGCAGTCCTGAGCTTCCAGGCCCCTGTGACTGTGTCCACCCTGACCCTCAGTGTGAAGTTGTTACACAGTTGGTCCGTGGAGGTAGAGGTAGGTAGTGGGGCCTGGTCCTGGGAAGCCCCGAGACTCTGGGGACATGAGTATCCCAGTGAGGGGACTTACATCCCTGCCCTGCCATGTGCTAGGTGATGCCTTGTGGAGAGGCCTGTTAGGGAAGTACTCATATCTGTTGGGGTTTCCTTTAACCTTCTGTAGAGCTATGCATCTCTTCCAGCTTTACACATCATACCTGAGGAAGCTGGAGGTCAGGAACTTGTTCAAGGTCGCCTAGCTAGTTAAGGGTGGCCTGGGTCCAACTGCAGGTCTGCCTCAGGTCACTTGCCCTGGTGAGCTGAGCCCTCAGCCTAACTGGACCTGGAGGGAAGGCCCTTGGCCCTGTGCTCCAGTAGGGACTCAGCCATCCCCATCAGGCGGGTAAGGGAGCAGTGACCCTCCAGCTGACTCTGTGCCTCCCTTCCTGCAGGTATGGATCCCTGCCCATGAGGCTGTGGCATGGTGTAGTTCCAAGCATAAAGACACCAAGGCTGTGTAGCTCACGGCAGCACACCCCACAGCCAGGTATACCTGAATTGACCAAGTTTCAGTCTCCAGCACTATGAACAGCTGTGAGTCTTCTGACAGTTACTTAGGCCCCCAGTTGTTGTCTGGCTGTTCATCTGTAATGGGGGGTATCATGATGATGCCACCTGCCTTTTACAACTGTGGTAAGGATCAAAGGAAATAACTGTGGGAGCACTGTGAACAGGACTGCCATAATCATAAATGTTACTGTTTATCATCTGCGAAAAGGCTATCCCATCTCAAAGGCTTATTGTGAAGATTTAGCACAATATATGCAAATGATCTGGCATATCATAAGGTTTTCAATTCATTATTGCTACTGTTCTCATTATGAATGTGAACAGAAATGTCAGGTGCCTTCTCCCTGCAGCACCAGTCCAGCACCACTGCTGCTGGCTAACGTGGCTTTGTTCTCTTCCAAGCAGGCCAGGGAGCTGGAGAGCAGAGAGGCAGAGCTAAGACGCCGTGACACCTTCTACAAGGAGCAGCTGGGGCGTATTGAGAGGAAGGTAAGACTGCTGCTTGGCTACATGTCTTGGGGCCAGGTCCTAAAGGCATCTGACCAGAACACAGCACCATCACTGGGGGCCGGGGTGAGGAGCCCGCAGGCCCAGTGCCCATTTGCCCAAATGCCAGTCACTCCTTGGACATGCCCTCCTGCATTCTGCAGCAGGCACCCAAATGGAGCCTTTCAACAAGTTGCATTCATGGAGATAATTGGTTTTTAATTGTCTCCCCGCCCCCACCCCCTCAACCCCCCGCCCCCCCGCACTTTTTTTTTGAATGTGGCTGGCTGTACAGTAGTTCAGTTTTAGAAAAAAATTCACTTTCACCACAGGGCGGTGCTGAGTCCCAGTATACCTTTTCTACTTTAGTTAAGCTGCATTTGGTAAAAATAATAATAACGTGATGTCTTGCTATACAAATACATTAAAGTTGTATTATTGATTTTCTCCTGGGAGTCGGGAAGATCAAAGTGCACTACGGCTGCACACTCGCTGCTTTTCTAAAGATAAGCCTTTGAAATGAATGAGATTTAAAGACACATCATCATGCCTTTAAAAAAAGCCTACAATGACTCTTGAAAATTCATTTGGTAACTTGCTTACTTTATTTTTTGGTTTAATTTGTGGATCATGACAGATTTTTCAAAGAAATGGCTTAAAACGTGGGAGGGGATGGTTGGGAGGTTAAAAAAGAAAATTGTTCTCCCTCATGCCTGAGACAGCATGCCAAGCAACCTGAGCCATCAGCTTATTGCAGGCAAATCTTCGCAAATCATTTGTCACGGTTTGGAGCTTTGAAATTGACAGTCTGCTTGAGGGGTCTGATTTCCACAGGAGTTTTCTCCTGTGGCATGCCACAGTGGAGCCTGGCAGAAATGTGGGTTTCTGGATTTCCAGGCAGTGTGGAAATGAGGGAGAGTCTTCCATGCCCCATGAACACCACTCGTCCACCTTTGCCGGGTGTTTAGGGGATGGCCGGAGTTGACGTGCCATGAACACTGAGTGCTGATGGTGACATCCCACAGTCTGAGGATCGGCAGTGCACCTCTGAGCCGCTTTCCAAGTGGCCCTTAACAAGCAAATCTTTCACAGAGCAGCCTTCACGCATAGGTTTGACTGTAGCTTATAATGACAAGGATTGTGATTTGAGATCCCAGAAAAGGGTAGAAAAGATTCCACCAGCCATAGCTCTAATTATCACAGTTGCCCATGTGTTCGTAGGCACAGGGTTTTTTTATTTTTGTTTTTTTGTGCATTCTTTGGTCTCCTCTGTGCTCCCCATGTTTCTGTCTCTGGACTTGGCTGCTAGAGGCGTGTGTTTGTGTCTCGGTTTGGGATGGCAGGGAAAGAGCCTCACGGCATTTTTGCCTCTCTCAAATCTGTTTTCCCTTTGTCCTTCTCCTCTCTCATCTCTACCCTAGTTCTCCTCCTAGAAACCAAGTCTCTTCCTTACTGAAGGAGAGGAAATTCTAGATGAGACTTCTTTCTCATCTAAGTGAAGTCCAAAGTCCTTACATATATAGGAGTGGGCTTTTTAAAAATCGAGGTTTCTTAGATGATTGTGAAGAGTTATTAAACGCTTCCAGAAGGAGGTGCAAAAGCATGATCTCCTTTCTGATTCTTAAATACGCATTTTGCTGGTGATAATATTAAAAAAAAAAAAAAAAAAAAAAGGAAAAGCACCTCCAACATCTCAGGAAATGGAGATTGGTGTGGGAGATAGGAGGATTAGAGGAGAGCCAGGGGAGAGGCAGAAAGGAGGCAGAAGAATGAGACTTAATTGTATTAGTTTTGAAAAAGGTTTTCGATCTTCTCCTCGGATAATTTTATTCCTGTAATGGCTGGGAAGATGGAAAACACAGCATCTGACAATCTTTTTTTATTAGCTGTTGCTTTTATACGATTCCACTTTCATTTGTTGAATACTTGCAGACCTTGACATTTCCAGCTTCTGTACACACGGCTCCAGGACCTTCCAGTCATCACATCCCTTTCCTTTTTCCCCTATTCCCTTTAAGTTTATAAATTGACAGTAAAAATCTGTTTGGGGAAAGTTGGATAAGCTGCAGCATCATCTTTGACCACCCAGAACAGCTCAGAGTACAGTTCCGGGTGAGAGCAGGTTGAGGTGGGGAGGCTGAGGGCTGGGGCTGTTGGCCGAGCCATGGTGTATCCAAGGGGCTGGCTGGAATCCTGCTGCCAGCCACCCGTGGAGGCCGGTCAGCCCCCACCTTCTACCTGTTGAGACTGGCAGGTAAGGAAAGCCTGCATAAAAGGCAGACTCAATTTTCAAGGAGGAAGAGACCTCTGGACTCTTTTGTCTATAGTATTTATTTCCTAAATGATTATTCTTGAGCATGGAAATCTCATTTCGCAGGGCTCCTATGCTTTATAATATTTCTGAGTAATTGCTCCTCAAAGCCACGCTGCAAGATCTAAGCGAGGAATATTGTTTCCCTTTCCCCACAGAAAGCAGTGAGCTGTTGAGGACACATGGGCCTTGTGAGGGCCTTGTACAGCACCTGAAGAAGCAGCCTGGGCGTTGAGTATGGTGCAGCTGATGGAGTGTGAGCACCAGGGCCCAGGAGCCTTGGCTCCCATGCAACAATTTCAGTCACTGTGCTTCCTTTCAGCTCGGTTTTTCCATCTGTAAAATGGAGACGTTAATGCTTTCTGCCAGGAGTTACTGGGAGGATTAAGGGAAGTAACGCCTGTAAAAGTGTTGGTGTGTGCTGGACAGGTGCTCGCTCCATCCCTGGTGTACAGCAATGCTGGGGTTCTATTTCACGTCGTAGTGCTTCAGGTTTGGATTAATGGATGAGCATGTGTGCATGCTGAGATGGATTTTTATCATCAAAGGTGACCTGACACCCAACACCTGCTCTCTGGGATGGGGAAGCCTTCTCTCTGGGCTACATCAGGCTTTTCTCTGATTGTCTTGCAGTATCCAGTGGGCTGGGGCCCTGCAATCCCTAGTTATTTCTGCACATCTGACAGTGTCATGGAACAAGGCTGTTGTCCGTTTCTGTGGGCATCTTCCCGCAGGACCCCTATTAACTTCAGTAGGGCTGGCACCATGTTTGAGAGGTCAAAGAAGAGCCCCAGACCCAGAAAATGAGACACAGGGTTTTATTAGTTATACACAGTGGCAGTTAAAAGTTACATACAGGGACAGTCCAGTGGCAGTGGGATGAATAGGGAAACCACAAGGCCCTGGGGCCGGCTGAGCCAGTGAACCACTACTCACAGAGAGCATGCAGTTTCTATAGCATTTCACTCTCCCTAACAGCTTCTACCTGGCAGCCTTCATTTAACCCAGGGATGGCCAATCTTTTGGCTTCCTTGTGCCACACTGGAAGGAGAATTGTCTTGGGCTAACACTAATGATGGCTGATGAGATTTCAAAAAAAATCGCAAAGAAAGTCTCATAATGTTTTAAGAAAGTTTATGACTTTATGTTGGGCTGCATTCAAAGCCATCCTGGGCTGCATGCAGCTTGTGGCCTGTGGGTTGGACAAGCTTGATTTAACCCAAAACAAAGGGCCTCAGTGTCCTGTACAGCTATGTTCCCTGGATTTTCACTTCACTGCTTCACAAGGGCTGAAGGTTCAGATGTTTCTCACAGATAAGGAATGGGTCTCCGAATTGGCCACTCCCAGATTCCTTAGCTCAGAACTCCAAACACACATTCAGGTGCATCTGCCATATGGGCTTATGGACCAGGAAGGTGAGACCCTTGACTGCCTGTGCTGTCGTGAGTCATTGCTGCTGAACCCCTCGCCATCTTACCTGTGCTTTCATGGCACCCCTGGCTCCAGAGCCTTTGCTCAGCTGCCACTTTGTAATTTTCTGCAGGAAGCGAAAGAACTAAGAGTGGGATTCACCCACACGTTGCCTGGATTCAGCTATCATGGGGCTAAGGGTGACTTGTGCCTCTTTAGAACCAGCACACTTTATTGTATTCTAGTAGAAACCTTGATACTGGGTGGCTCTGAAGGAGACCCTAAGGGCCCATGGAGTTGACCACTTGTGGCCGGCCAAGGCCTTTGTCTTCCATAGTCAACCATAGGGCTGAGTAGGGTGGTAGGGACGAGTAGGTTTTGGGGTCCAGTAGACTTCAGTTTAGTTCTGCCTCAATCATGTAGCAGCCTTGTGACCCTGAGCATGTTGTTACATTCTCTAGCCTCAGTTTCCTTATCTTTGAAATGGGAATTTAGGACTAACCTGCCAGCTGTTTGGGGTGAGTGGTGGTTTGTATAAAGCAGCCATCAGAGTACCCGACCTCAGTATCCAGTTCTCTTCCATGTTATTTCTGTCCTCTTCCTCCTCTTCAATAAATGGCCGGCCTTCATTCACGCCACGTCGATTTAGGTCTGCTAAATGCCAGGTGCAGGGATGGTTCAGACAGCTGTGGCTCCTGCCTCATGAAATCCGCAGTCAGGTCTGGGAGGGAAGGGAGGTGCCGAGGATTAGGATGCCAGATGGGAGGATGCTCATATGCAGGCTTCCATGTGACTAGAGGACCTCCCAGCTCTGCAAAATGCTTGGTCTCACTTTTTCCAAACTCAGCAGCTATAAAGCAGAGAAGGTCTTTTTCAGGGTAAGCGTCAAAAACCAAGTCAGGAAGAAAGGGACGGGAGAAATGTATTCTTCCTGGACTTTGTCTCCTTCCCTGAGGATTGAAGTCTTCCTCCCTGCACCTTTCAGAGGCCTCCTTGCCCTGCCTCTGAGCAGTCAGCCCTTTCCCCCCTTGTACTCCCTGCTGCCATTTGAGCTTTCTTAAGAAAAGACCATCATCTGATCCCGACACCCCTGCAGTTTGCTCACTGACACTGCTCAACAGACATACCTTTCCCAGGCACACTGGTCTCTGCCTGGTCCCTTGGGTGTATAGGAATACACAAGCTACACAAGATATTTGGAGGAGGAGAAATTACATACAGGATTTCTACTTCACAAGAAAAGGTATGGTCAGCAAACATGGAAAGAGCTCATCCTCACTA